AATATAAAACTGGAAAATATGCTCTGGAAATAAATTTGGCAGCACTTCGTTGTATGAATGCAGCTCCCTTTCTGAAGTCCCCTGCTTCCCCTTTTATAGAGATGGAATTCTAACAGTTACTGCTGGAGAGAGTGGACTTTGAGGCAGATAATTCAGGGAGCAGTGGTCCACTCTTTGGGAATTGGAACTGCTTCTTTAACGTGTAATTGAGGTGGGGCGTTTTTGCCTGCATGACGGTCGTCACAAGGTGTGACGGTCGTCATGAAGCTGTGACGGTCGTCACATCAGCAAAAACAGCTTCTGCGCTTTTTATGATGTTTTCACTCTTTTTTCGTCCATAATTCATCTGAGATTGCTTCTTTTCTTCATGTTGCCTTGTTTAGACGTGATCGCTGAATACCTGCAAAACATCAGACAAATAACACAGAAATAACCCGAAATCGGATCGAAAACGGTTAAACTTTAGTTGAATTATGCATCAAAATATATATACGATTTCGTGTTATCAGGATACTATCAATTTCATTGCAGAAGCATAAATAATAAAGCATAAGTAAAGAACACATGATATATCCTGGTTCACTTGAGCAACTCTCAAGCTAATCCAGTCCACCCTTCCAAGGTGATTTCGCCTCTCTCAAGAAAGGACTTAATCCATTATAACCAAACTGATTACAGTTGCACAAGCTAGCTGCAAGTGACTAACAAATAGACAATGACACGTTCAGGGATCCCCAAGTATATAATGTTCATTGACTTCTAATAGAATCCGATCATAAAAGATCTCCTATTAGAATTCCACAAATGACAACTGTCACTTGTCATCTCAAGTATACTGATCTTCACAAGATCACTTGAGGAACCACTAATTCTAAAATGAATTTGTGTTGTTGGAGATTACATGAGTGCTTCTTAACAAACAAATTACTCCTAATTAAGTACATGGCAAGTATTGAGTAACAACTTCTTACTTCCTAATATAGAAACTAATCTAAAGATAAATCTTTATGAGATTATTAGAACATTAGTTTCCATATTGCTTAAAAGCTTTTCAGTGTGTGAGCACTAAGGCTTCTTTTCATTTAAGCTTTTCTTCTTTCTTTCTTTCTTCACTTCATGCTTACTAGCATGGTAACATTTGAATAAATCAAATGTTATTTCTTATAGTGCAGCTTAACAGCAACAACCTTGCTTGACTCAGCAACCCAGCAAAATTTGAATGATCAAATGATTCTTCTTTTTATATTGCAGCCAATATAGTTGTTGTGAGGATAGAAAAGTCCTTTCTATTTCCAACGGTCATATTTCAACGGATAGAATGAGCACGTGTTGGATGACATCACTTTATTGTCCTTTACCATAAGCACATGATTTATCAAATTTGAACAGCAACAGCTTATTTGATGTAACATGTCTTGCATGTGAATGAATCTTCTTCTGACACAATCTTCCACTTCAGAATCCAGTCTTCAGCATTCTAAGAACTGAGTTTCCTCTGAAACAATCTTGAGAATCTTTATGACTAATTCTTCAGAAACCATGTCTTCAGAATCTTCAGAGTCTTGACCTTCAGAACACTTCTTCAGAGTCTTGACTTTCAGAAAACATCTTCAGAGTCTTGACCTTCAGAACCTGTCTTCAGAGTCTTGACCTCAGAACCCATCTTCAGAGTCTTCAGAGTCTTGACGTGCTTGGTCTTCAGAGCCTTTAGGCTTCAGAACTTCAAGTCATCAGAGTCTTCAGAACTTTGTTCTTCAGAGGACTCACTCTTCAAAAACGCTCGTTAGCTTCCAGATCAGATGCATAACTCAGAGCAGAATCCATAGATGCATTGCAACTGCAATATCCAACATCCTTGATTCTTTACTGATCATGATCAGATGTAGAAACAAACTTGCTTCTTCACTGAGCTTCATTTGCTTTCAGATCAGATGTAGAAACAAACTTGCTTCTTCACTGAGCTTCATTTGCTTTCAGATCAGAATACACATGAGCATTGCAACTGCAATATCCAGCATCCTTGATTCTTACTAAACGTGATCAGATACATAAGCAAACTAGCTCCTCACGTGCGCTTCATGACGTCACACTAAGTAACTCCATAAGTTACTAGCTGCACACGTTGCTTCTGTTTGTTTGGTCTTAATATATTTAATTTAATATGACCTGCACATAACAAACATTAAACCATAAAATGGTTCTTTCACAAATACTCAATTGTTATCATCAAAACATAGAGATAATCCTGTAGAGACAAATCTTACTCTTATAAGACTATCACTTCCATTATCAACTTCACAAATCCCCCAAATAAACTGCAATAAAAATTGCCTGATTATTTTCTGGATATAGTGAAAATATTCATAATTGATGAATATATAACAAAAATATAAGTGTCCAAATCTAACCATAACACCTTTCAAATTTAAAGTCATAAAAAAAATAAAGACCTTCGATGAATAGTTTTGGAGAATCACAACTAATTCCAAGAATCTTCATTAGATAAGCCACTATGCCACTATTACAACTTAGTGTTTTATTCACAAAATTTAATAAAAAGAATCAAATTATCTAAAAGAAATTATTTTTGAAGAACTAAATAGTAATATTTTTTAGCTAAGAGTCAAAAATAAATTATTTAAAACATGTTTAGTTAGTTGAGAGAAATGAGAAAATTTAACATAGCTTTTAAAATGGTGCAAATGAGATAAAAATTTGTGTATGTTTTAATCATTTTAGTTTAGTTTCAAAACCAAAACCTCTATCCTCTATTTAAAAAAATACAAATTCTTATCCTATTCCCTCTAATCCAAAAAAGCAGACTTCAAGATGTGCTTTTGATGGTGGTGGAAGGACGAGATCGCTAAGACTTTTCGCACCACCTGTTCATTTTGTCAGAATCTTTGTGATTTTTAAGTGGTTTTCACTGATTGTCGGTGTTTGGTTATTTAATATTTTCGTTTCAGCATTCTATGTCAATGGTCTCTTTGGCAATGTCCAGTTCAACACCAAGGTTTCACCTCTGTTTTTTCTACTACTTTTCATCTTTTGTTTTAGATTTAGCTGTATAGTGTCTGAATCAACTGTTATTTTGTTTGCTAAATCGTTCTTTTAATTTGCGTTGTAGTTTCCTAGTTGTCCAAACATCTAACTAAGATGAGTTAATATTTTTTTCTTTATTTTTGGTTTTGGTGTCTCGGCCCATTTGATCAGAAATGGTTGTTAGTGCTTGCTGAACTTTGCCAACGAGTTGTTGGTTAATGACTCCGTTATTGTGTTGGTGGTCGGGTTTAGTCGATGTCTTCAAAATCTGAGTTTGACGATAGTTATTATATGTATCACTCTTTTTTACAAGTTGATTTCACCTTTGGTGGGTTTGCTGGATTGTGCACGTGATGCATGAGTGTCTCGCAACAGCTTAGATTTGTTTGCTTTGAAAGAGCTTTTATGTTTGTTATGATTTTTTGCCAGAGTTGTTTGTATGCGAATTAATTTGTATTGACGTTCGTTCATTTACCCTTAATTAAAGTTGTAAAGACTCACATAACACTTTTTTGCTATTAAGTTTCGTTCTTATACGCAAGTTCACGGTTCCTATTTGGATTATTTACTAATTTTTGATGTAGTGTTAGGGCTGGAAATGAGTCGAGTCGAGTCGAACTCACCTCAGCTCGGCTCGACTCATTAAGAATTGTTCGAATTCGAGTTCGAGTTCGAGTTTGACACGAACTTTTTTTTAAGCTCAAACTCGACTCGTTATAAGTTCACGAACAGTTCGGTTCGACTCGTTAGGTTCATCTCATTAGGTTCATCTCACATGGTTCACGAACTTAAAAACTATTTTTTTAAATATATATAATTTTTGGTATATTTTACATTTTAAATAAATATATATTTTTTAAATAAAATATTAAAATAAAATAAAAGTTATCATATTGAAATTTAACTTTATCTTTGAAATCTACTAATTCAAAACCTACACAACTTTCAAGAGACACATTTGAGAGTCTAATTCAAAACTACTAAATTGAAGATTAAATTTGTCTAAGATTTGAAGTAAATATTTAAACCTAATCTTAAAGATAGTATAATTCTTTTCATATGTAACCGAGTTGACTCATGAACCTAACGAGTCGAACTATGTATAGTTCAAGTTCAGCTCATTTAGTTAACGAACTTAATTTTTCGCTCATACTCAACTCATTTGGTTCATGAACCTAGTTCATCGATTTAATTGTCGAGTCGAATTCCGAACTATCTTCGAGTTGGTTTGGTTCATTGCCAGCCCTATGTAGTGTGATTAAGTTAGATTTTTGCCTCTAAGTATTGTGTAATCTCTTTTATTTTTATTTTATTTTTTTATCAAATAATTTAATGGTTGAAAAAATAAGATATCAGAGATTCAATCTGCACTTTGTATTTGATATTTCTGTACAACTACAAACTAAAAAAACTTATCAGAATTATTTCATTTTTATTTAACGGGACAATTTTATTGGTTTAAAAAAATGTCAACTATTTTAACATGTTTTTTATTTAAAAGATGATAATTATTGCTTTTGGTTATTCCAAAAAGTTTCTTAAATTTTAGGTCTTCTTACTTTCACAGTATCCTTATGCCTAATCAAAAGCCATAAATTAGTTGAAAAGAATAACTCAAGAAAAAAAAAACTAATTTTTTTATAAACATAAAAATAGATTGGTACCGTATAAAATTCAAGTAAAAAGTATCTACTTATAATTTAGACAAGTATTGTTTATTTTATCATTATTAGTCTATGCTACGTTTGTTAGCATTCTCTAAATTCTAAATGAAAAAGTATATACCCAAAAAAAATCAAAAACAAAAGATACCGCTAAGATTATATATTTAAATTCCAGCTTATAATAAAATAGTATTTTTAATTAATATTATTTATTATTACACAAAGAAGAAGAAACAGAATTTGGATTGAGTGAACATTCAGTTCTCTCTGATAGCATTTTCAGAACCAACAGCAATGGGCGCATATTGCAACGACGCCGTTTCATTTCCACCGCGTTACGACGTCGTTTCCTCTCGAGACAAACACGTTCATGACAACGTCCATGGCAACATCTTCATTGATTCTGTAATTTTTTCATCAATTCATTTTTTTCAATTTTTTTTGTTTCGATTTTTTGTTTTTGTGCGTGTGTGTTGAATTTAATTACTTGAAATGAAGTCTTCACTATGTTACAATGTTGATTCAATTTCATTTTTTATTATTATTACTTTTTCTAATTTTATGAATTTTTTGTTTTTTTTGCAGCTTTGTTTGAAGTTCATTGACACTGAACAGTTTCAGAGGCAAGATTGAAACTTTTTTTTTTTTTTTTTTTTAATTTAATTTTTTTAAATTCTATTAAAATGTGTTATATTATATCCACAATCTTGTTATGTTTCTATATTGATAATTTTGTGGTTTTTGTTTTTAATTTTTTGTATTTTTTTGTTTGTTTGCAGGCTTCGTGAGTTGAAACAACTCGGTGAGTTTGTATCCATTGAATCAAAGATTTTAATTAGGAAATGATTTTGAAGCTACTAAGGAATTCAAATGCACTTGCATAATTACTTTATATTTTTATTTTAGCATTCTGCATTGTGATTTTCATATTGCAATTTTCTGAAACCGTGTTATATTTTTACAGAATACCTATCACTGGAATACCTTTAGTGTGTTCAATTCTTGATATCGGTTTTTTGAAATTTCAGTTGTATGATTTTTCCAATAGATCATTTTGTTTTATGTTTTCAGGTTTCACACACTTGGTGTATCCGGGTGCTGTCCATTCCAGATTCGAGCATTCTCTTGGAGTGTATTGGATTGCTGGTCAATCTGTTGAAAAGCTTAACAGTTATCAAGTATATTTTTCTTACCCTTTTAAGGTACAATTAAGTCTTTCCGATGAAAGCATCTCATACATGCCTGTGATTTTGCAGGGCATGGAGCTTGGTATTGATAAATTTGATATGCAAACAGTGAAACTTGCTGGTATATATTTTTTTTCTCAATAACTACTCATGGTTTTATTTCCATTTTTTAAATTATTTTTGACATTGTCATCATTTTTTTTAGGACTATTGCATGATGTAGGACACGGGCCATTCAGTCACTTGTTTGAACGGGAGTTTCTTCCTCAAGTTAACAGCGGTTCTCATTGGTACTTTTGTCATTTTAATTCATTTCATTTTTATCTACATTTTCCCTGTATTTCTAAGTCCTGAAAAAAGGCTGTTATGTTATGTATGGTTGTTTATACAATTTTGTGGTCATTATACATATACAATGTAGCATATTTTGTACTTTGTAGGTCACATGAACAAATGTCGGTCAACATGGTTGATTATATAGTTGAGGAACACAATATTGATATTGAATCTCAGATGTTAAAAAGAGTCAAGGTAATGTTACTATTTGCAATTGCATTTTACCTATTTTATGTCAAGTTTATTGAGTTTCTAAATGTTACTTCTTAAGCATCATAAGCATGATATCTTAGGTTAATTAGTTAATTAAGTTGTCAATATGAGAGACTGAGTTCTTGGTAAGATTAGACCTTGAGACACCATTCTTTTGAAGTTTAGAAGTATTGGACACATTTTGAAAGATATGATACGTAAAATTTGATGAACGGAAAATGATGCTGACAGCCATGGCAGTTCTCTGTTCTATAGAAGGCTCTCTAGAAAGAAACTGTTTTCCGTGTACATTCTCCATGATAGTGTGGATATTACTATGTTCAAAGAGCTTTTACTCGTGTCTGAATTATATTCTGCATAATAAGCATGCTGCGTACTTAAAAAAAATCAAAATGTAGCAATAAGTTTTAATCTTCATCCTAATGGGTGGTTATTTGACAGGAGATGATATTGGCAAGCTCCGAATTTTCTCTTCCTAGGGTAAGATTTTTATTTTTAAATTTAATTTGTCTATTCTCTAGACATATTTTATGAGTTTGGTTTATTCTTATTGTTGGTATTTATTTCTACCATCTATTTTTTTACCTCTCCTTTTGATATATTTGTTTTCTTTTTGTTGGTTATTAAGAGCTCAAGTGAGAAAAGTTTCCTGTATGATATTGTTGCAAATGGACGAAATGGAATCGATGTTGACAAGTAAGTTAGCACATAAAATTTAATTGTTGAATCTGATTTACAATTTTTTTTTCTTTCTATTCTCTCTTTTATGTATTCTTTAGATGTTTGTTCAACAGAGTTATGCTAAATTGTAATTCTCTGTGGAAACTGTTGATTTGCATGCAGATTTGATTATATTGCCCGTGATTGTCGAGCTTGTGGTCTTGGATGCAACTTTGAGTTTCAAAGGTTACATGAATTTCTTCAAAACAATTCTTTTTAGTAGTGTTTAGATGATTTTTCTTGGCAATAGATTTAAAGTTTATATAATATACATAGGTTATGTGTCTTTTAAATTATAGTATCCTTACAGGTTAATGGAGACCATGCGGGTCTTGGATGATGAGATTTGTTATCGTGCGAAGGACTGTTAGTATTTTATGTCTCAAATATTTTTCATGCTTTTTCCTTTGCAGATTTCTAATTATGCCTGTGTTTTCCTTTGTAATTTTTTAGATCTTACAATCCACAAGTTGTTTGCCACTCGGGCTGATCTGTATAGAACAGTTTATACACATCCAAAAGTAAAGGTATGGAGTAGTTAACTTATTAGGAAGTTAATTTCATTTGTTAATGCATCTATAAGCTTCATGATTTTAATTGTTTCTAATTTCATCTTGATGTTTTCAGGCAATTGAGCTTATGGTGGTTGACGCACTTGTGCAAGCAAATGCTTATTTGCAGATTTCAGATACCATTCAAGATCCAGCTGAATACTGGAAGGTTATGAGGGCTTCTTTCATATACAGATGCATCAAAAACATTTTTACACCGCCTTATTTAATCATAAATATATATTACTTTTTAAAAAAATGCAGCTGGATGATTCAATAATCAAAACCATCGAGACTTCTCCATTGGAAGAACTGAAGGAAGCTAGAGAGTTGATTCTGCGCATTCGAAGGAGGAACCTGTACCAGGCATGTTTTTACCGGTTACTTTTCTGCCATGTTTTTAATTATGTACTCAACATTTATTGTTTAGGGTTGCCGAAGCTGAGGAAGTTCCTGTTTCGTTTTGCAGTTTTGTAACGAGTATGCTGTTCCAAGGGATATAATGGATAATGTTAAGAAAGTCACTCCACAGGATATAGTTTGTTCCCAGGTCCTTTTTTTTTAATCCTTCTCATCTGTGCATGCTTTTGATTTTTCCCAGGGTTCAACAGGGAATTTTATGTCGTTTTTTATGTAACATCATTTGACAGAAAAATGGCGGAGTTATGTTGAAAGAGGAGGATGTCGCTGTTAGTAACGTCAAAATTGATTTGACTCGCGGAAAGCACAATCCTCTAGAAAGGTATTCAACGAAAATTATAATATGTTTTAACTTCCTAATATCATTTACTAATGTAATATTTCCTTTTCTCTTCTGGTGCATGTTTTGGTGGCAGCATCCACTTTTTCAAGGTACAACAACGAACCTATTACTACATTTTTTTAATCAATATTTCTTATTTAGAAGCTTCTTATATTTTACTGTTGATGCTTGCTGTGTATATTGTATTGGGCGGTTTATTAGGTGATTATGACTTAGTGTGTGCATTTTTCGGTTGATCATGATTGTTCTTTGATTTTATATAACTAGTACATTTGTGTTAGGTAGGTCTGCAATATGTGAAAATCAATTGCACTTCATTATTAATACAAAACGCTTCTGTGTACCAGGCTGAGTTGGACGAGAAATCCTTAAATAGAAACTACAATTTCTTGAGAGTGAAACTGTAATTATTTTTTATCTGCTACTTGCTACATTTTATTTACTCATTCAATAATATATTCAGGATTATGAAAGTGACGAGAAATTTACAATTCCTGATGAGCGCATAAGCCACTTGTTGCCTACATCTTATCAAGATATGATTGTAAGAGTGTACTCAAAAAAGCCAGAACTGGTAAGTGGAATTAAATTCAATCCAAATTTAAGTCTTGTTGTCTTTTTACTCATTCAGGCAAAGTTTACTAACCTTGTGATTTGAACAATCCTATAGGTGGAAACAATTTCAGAGGCATTTGAAAATTATCAGCTTAAAACATACGGAATCAAAGCACAGGTACATTCAACACCAAAGAAGAAACGTGGTTATGATTCATGTGTATGAGGGTCGTCTCTTTCGATTTTTTTTGGTATGATTACCATATTACTACCACTTTTTCTTTTTGGCCTTTTTTCTTTCTTTTTTTTTTATGATGCTTTTTAAGTATAGAAGCATTCATATTTTCCACAATGGAAATATAGTTTTAGTCAATAGCAGCTATACTTTGAAGAATTGTTAATTCCACACCAAAAGCAAATGCTACACACTCTGTTGAAGCTGTAATTGAGTTTACCATATTACATGTATGTATATAGCAAATGATTTTTTTCTCCAATGATTTGCTGTAATTGTGTTAGTTGAAACTTTCATTTATTTCGTTGGTGAGAATGATGTGGCAAAAGTATGACTAACTATCGATAATACTCTCACATTGGGCGAGAAATGAAGATGTTTGTATATTTATAAATGGGACAACCCCACCTTACAAATTGATTTAGTAAAGTTAAATTGAGTTCGACTCAAATTATAAGTTGAGTCTGCCTAAGATGCTCGAGGGTAATTGCTCAGGTTTCCGCTATTGGACTACTTGAACATGTCTGATGTTTATATTTGTGGTGTAATGATTGATAGATAATTTGAACATATGTTTATACAATGAATCAACATTAAATTTATGATTTTTCTGAACATCTTAGAAATTCTTATTTATGCGATTTACAGTAAGGTTTTACTAACATCAAGATTTGTTTCATCCACTGATTGACTCAATTTACAATGAAGTTGACCTAGTGAGTCTACCATGAATATATACTCATAATTTTTTAATCTCATTTTGATATCCGTGCAAGACTAGATACGTTGTATGGTGTATGCAATATGGTGTACTAAAAGGGTGTTATCATAAGATACTTCTCCGAAGAGCATTAATACAATTGACTTTATATATGATTCAACTTATATATATGATTGTTTATTTTATAATAGCACGCAATTTTCAATATAACAAACAAGGATTTATATATGCTCTGCTTCCCTTTTATTCTCTCTCATTAAAATAATTAAAATTTCCGATTCTGATTCTGCTGTACTACTACTGGTATTAGAGTTTGGTAAGAAACTTAAGGTATTTTTGTTAATCCAACTATTTGTCAATGACAACTAGTGGCTAAATTTTTGTTATGGAAGGTTAGATAACTTAGACGAAACTAAGTATGTAGGTTCTTCTCTTAAAATTAGTATATTTATATCATGGCAACAAGTAATAAAGATTTTTTCAAAACTAAAGATGTTTTTTAGTGTTTTCTTAAATTCACTGTTTTTTTCCAGTGAAGGGAGTGTTAAGATGATTTAAAATAAAATAAAATAAAAAAAGAAAATTTTTGCTAAAAAATATTGGACAACTTTGATTTAGGAGACATCCTTTTATCCCTTAGGGTTGATAGTTAAACAACGTTTTTATTTGCAAAGATGACTTATCAGTTGTTGCCTAGATATATTTGTACTAAGATTATGAGTTAAATTTACCTACTTAGTTAGCTAATCGTCCACAACACCTTTTGCCTGCCATATTTATGGATTCTGATGATGATAATCATCAAAATAATTTGATTAAACATGAAGAACTTATGGAATATCCAAAAAATTTGGATAAACTTAATAAACGGACAATTCCATCAATACCTTCAAATCAAATTTATAAATTTGGTAAAATAGATTTATTATCTCGTTTTGCTGTAAAAAGCTTAGAAAAACTATTCAAATTTCTAAAACTACTTAGACAATTAAACTCTTAACAAAAAAGGATTTACTTCCTTTTAAAAAATAATAATTATATTCATGTTAGTTTAATACAAATTGCTGTTAAACTTTTGACTTTGCTAGGATTAAATACTAGCATCCTGGGATATATTAGAGATGCTAGATGTAAAGATTTTAAACAATCTTTAACTGCTTTAATTGAGACAAGTCTGTGTCATGGACCAATTTATTTTGATGTCTCTCCCAATATAAGCTCATCAATGACTGATAAAAATTTATTAGATGCCCTTCAATGAACTATTCATACCAATGGTTATAATTTTAAACAGGGTAGTGAAATAATGGCTATATGTTATAGGGTTTATTATAAAGTTCTTACCACTTTAAACCCTAAAGCTAAACAAATATTGTTTCCAGGAACTACTACTTTAGTTCAAACCAATTTGCTAACATCTAGTGTTGCAACTAATAGGCTGTTAAAATGGGATGAAATTAATTTTCCTGAAACCTAGAACCTTCCTCAGGCCGTAGAACCTGAACCTATCCTTAATACGGATGTTGATCAAATAATCCAGTATTGTGAAGGAGATTTGGAAATAAACTTTAACTCTAAAAGAATTATTAGAACACCAAGATCTATGTCTGGAAGACATTCAGTGAATTCTATAAATGAGTTTTACTCTACTCCCAGTCAATTGCCTAGAACTTTTACTTCTCAATTAAGAGAAGAAATAGAGGTAGTCGAAAATATAAGACTTAGCGAAAATAAAATTCCCCATGGAATATATCAAAAACCAAATCCTCCTAGAGTAGAATCGCCTACTCCCTCAGACATGGACTTCCCGTTATAATGTTAGATTATTCCCTAGGTAGTAATCTAAGAAACCTTGTCAATGACGAGTTTCAGCATTAAAGATACACTCAATTTAGAAAATGGTTTCTTAAAACTTTTTCTGCCCCTGTATTAGCAAGTTTTAAAGATGAGTACTATACTCAGATGTCTATGAATCAAGATTTCATTCCCTTTTTCAAATGGTTCATTTTGTACCCCAAAATTTGCCCAACCTTTTTCTTTATTGGCTTTTGTTTCACTGCATTGCTCTAACATTTTGCATTGCATATCATTGTTGCATTTAATAGGGGATCAAGAGAGGTGTGCCCAACAAGAGAAGGTCATCAAAGGTTTTTGAGCCTAATCAAGAGGTTTCCTCAAGCATGAGTGCTCATCAAAGTCATCAAGAGTTGGTCAGTGCCCTTTGAGAGTTGGTGGATGTATGTGGATTGTTTCCTAGCTTGGGGGACAAATTGGGGATCATCAGAGGAATGTGAGTTCATGATTATGGATATGGGATATTGAGGAGGCTCATTGAGTGCTTGAAAGTCATTGTGGAGCTTATCCAAATTGTGGTGTCATGTATAAGAAGCCACAGTCAGAAGTTTTGTCTCTAGGGTTTTCATCTGGTTAACCCTAAGTCAACTGTGGATTTAAAGGAGATTAAGACTCAATTCTAAATCATGATGATCATGGAATGTTGTGTTGAGGCATTGGAGATGTTATTCCAAGATCAAATCAAGAAGAATTCAAAGTGTGAGGAGTTACTAAATTAGGATTCTCAGTGTAAGATCCCATATTTAGTGCCCAACTTCAAGACCACATATCTCAAGATGCAAGTTTCATCTTGTTGCACCCCAAAATTTCCCCAACATTTCTTTACCTAGCTTATGTTTCATTTCAGTCACATTAGCATTATCATTTGCATTTCATTGACATGTATGCAGGAGATCAAGAGGTATGATTACCAATCAAGGGCTACACAAGACTTTGAAGCTAGCTAAGAAGGCTTATCCAAGTGTTCAAGGGTTGATATCCTTGTCAGAGAAGTTAAAAGATCCTCAGAGAGAGTGGTTGAAGCCAAGAGTGTAGGTCTCCTAACTTGAGAGTTACGGGAAAGCCATCAGATGATTCTGAAGCCATGAAGATGGACTTGAGGTCTTGAGAGAGCTCATGAGAAGTTTTGAAGATCACTTTGATGCCTAGACAAGTCATTGTGCAAGTTTAAGAAGACTCAACCATGATCGATGCAGCTAGGGTTTGACTGGGTCAACCCTAAGTCAACTGATGATTTAAAGAAGGTTGAGACCTAATCCAAGAGCCATGTGATCATGGATTGATACATTGAGATGTTATGAGGATGATTTCAAGGGTAACTCATCATGATTGAAGAGTTTGAGAAGTTTCAAGCTAGAGTTTCTAAGACTTGACAGTATAAAATCCCCTAGTTTGACCCCCATCTTCAAGGCAATTTAGCTCAAGATGTGATTGTCATCTCATCTTACCCCCAACATGATTGTTGTAGATCATGATCTTAGCTTTAATTTGAGTGCTAGAAGTCCTTGATAGGATTTGTAGAACTCAAGTTATGACTTTGACAAGTTACAAGTCATCTGAGGAATGTGAATTTGGAGCTTGAAAGTTACCCAACTTTCATGAAACTTTTGCCCTAGAAGGATGATTCCTATGAACTTTTGGTCAACATGAATGTTGTTCCTTATCCTCTTAGCTTTCTAGAGAGTACTAGAAGTCCTTGATAGGATTTGTAGAACTCAAGTTATGGCTTTGACAAGTCAAGGGTATTTTGGTCATTTGGAGATTACAGGTCATTTCAACCATAAGGCCATAACTCCTATTTGCAAGCTCCAAATGGGAAAATGTTCAACATCAAACTTGTTCAAAATGATGTTTTAAGGCTAGTCAAGAGGTCATGAGAGGTTGGAATTGCTTGTAACTCAAAATTACAAAATTGACTTAAAAAGGAAGATTTAAAGTTCATTAAAAGGACCAAATTTGGGATTTTTCATTTCAAGGCCAAGATAAGGCATGTAATATGTTATTTTTATCAGAAATGACATTTTAAAGACAATGGCAATGTTACTTTTCCCATTTGAGCTCAAAATCAGGGAGTTGCTTTTGCTTGCTTAAGACTTAAGTAACATAACCCAAACTTCTCATAAGTGCAAGACCAATGCTCCAATCCATCAAAACACTTTCATAATCTCATTTGGAGAGAATTTGGATGAAGAGCATAGTGAATACAAGCTGCTGCAAGGACTGTCATGAGTGTACCATGAGATTGAACTTTTCATGACATGAGATATTGAATTCCTCATTAGAGTGATCTAGAACTTTCTAGATCATTCATTCATGTCCTATATATGATTATGAAGTGGTTCAGAGTGAAGGTTGGTGAGAATTGAGAGAGGAGAGTGAGATTGCACTTGGAAATCTCTTCTTGCAAATCAAAATC